GGCACCTCACATTTCACTTCTGCTCTCCAGTTCGTGAACACTGCCATTTGACGAAAATGCCACCCAAGGCTAGCGGTAAAGCTGTGAAGAAGGCTGGAAAAGCCCAGAAGAATATCACCAAGTCCGACAAGAAGAAGAAGCGTAAGAGGAAGGAGAGCTACGCTATCTACATCTACAAAGTCTTGAAACAAGTCCACCCTGACACCGGAGTGTCTAGCAAAGCCATGAGCATCATGAACTCGTTTGTAAACGACATCTTCGAACGCATTGCTGCGGAAGCATCGAGATTGGCTCACTACAACAAGAGATCAACCATCACTTCTCGGGAAATCCAGACAGCTGTTCGTCTGCTCCTTCCCGGAGAGTTGGCTAAACACGCTGTGTCTGAAGGCACCAAGGCTGTTACCAAATACACCAGCTCAAAGTAAATCAATTTTTTGATTTTACAATCCAATCGGCCCTTTTCAGGGCCACCAAATTTTTGAAATGTAGTATCTCCAACTTCGCATCTCTCATTTCGATTTCAACGGTTTTATTAATTTAATTCAATTTTCACACAATTTAAATCTAATACTCTAAGCAAAAAGAAATCATAAATTGTTTACCGAGAAGTGACTATTTTTTTAAACTATCCATTTGTTATTTCACCACGTTACATTCATTATTATAGTAATTGTTATTTATGGATTTATCTGATGGAACCTTTTTCAGTGAAAATAAAATTCATTTTTAATTTCTAATCATCATTTTCTGATATAGTATGCCAGATTGCTACTTTTCGGTTTGAAATTTTAAAGAGATTTCTAAACGAAAACTTTTATTAACATTGTGAGAGATGAGGATAAACAGAAGTATTCACATATGATTAGACGGCCAGTTCGTCTTTTTAATGTTTAGAATAATTGTTTGAATTCAAAGGCATGTGTTTTGAAGACGGCTTGCTATCTCTTATCATTTTGGATGATATATTACTCGTAATTATATTTAGAATTTTTTAATGAGTTTACAAAGCAATTTAAGTTTGTAATTATAAGACTCAGAATTTTTTCAATACTTTGAGATATTCTAAAATAAAATTTGGTGAGATTAGGTTATCTTGCCAATTCATTTTTTTCGGATGAAATATGTTGAAAAAAAAAATTAAAAAAGTATATAGCTATAAATTGTTTTCTCGTTAAAATTAATTTATGGCCCTGAAAAGGGCCGATCGTGATTAGTTTTCAATATTGAATTAATTTAAGCTCTCTCTCCTCGAATACGACGAGCCAGCTGGATATCCTTAGGCATGATGGTGACTCTTTTGGCGTGAATGGCGCAGAGGTTGGTGTCTTCAAAGAGACCGACGAGGTAGGCCTCGCTGGCTTCCTGAAGAGCCATCACAGCTGAGCTCTGGAATCTCAAGTCGGTTTTGAAGTCCTGGGCGATCTCACGAACAAGTCGTTGGAAGGGCAGTTTACGAATGAGAAGCTCAGTGCTCTTCTGGTAACGACGAATCTCACGAAGAGCTACAGTTCCTGGTCTGTAACGATGTGGCTTCTTAACTCCTCCAGTTGCTGGCGCACTCTTACGAGCGGCCTTGGTAGCCAGCTGTTTCCTCGGAGCTTTTCCTCCAGTCGATTTACGGGCAGTCTGCTTAGTACGAGCCATTGCGTCGAATTCTGTACGATATTGTACGGTGATACCTCAAAAGAACGAGTGAGTTTCATTCGCGCTGTTCCATGTTATATAACCGATGGATCTCTCTGATTGGTGGAAACGAGCGGAGCGGGGGAAAAAGATCTGCTGCTTGGCCATTGGTGGATTCTCCCATGGCGGGGGATGACTCAACCAGGCCTCTATAAAGACGCGTGTTTATGAGAAAATTCTATCATTCGCTGCGTGAGTACTTTGTTTACTTGACGTGTCCTTCAATCAAAAGACAAGATGACTGGTCGTGGAAAGGGAGGAAAGGGATTGGGAAAAGGAGGAGCCAAGCGCCATCGTAAAGTTCTTCGTGATAACATCCAGGGAATTACCAAACCAGCCATCCGTCGTCTCGCTCGTCGAGGTGGTGTCAAACGTATTTCTGGTTTGATCTACGAAGAAACTCGTGGTGTCCTCAAGGTATTCCTTGAGAACGTCATCCGTGATGCAGTCACCTACACTGAACACGCCAAAAGGAAGACCGTCACAGCGATGGATGTTGTCTATGCCCTGAAACGTCAAGGTCGCACTCTCTACGGATTCGGAGGTTAAAACCTGTCGACGCTACAAACCAATCGGCCCTTCTCAGGGCCACCAATTATTTTTCACGTTGGTCTGCATCAATTACAACTGCTAATCATTGATTAAATTTTATATTCCTTATATTTATTATCGAAAATTTAACAAACAAATTTATAATTTCGTTAAGGTTCACGAAAAAATGACCATTAGGAGTATATTCTACATTCTGTCGTCCATATACATCTTTCATCATTTTTTACAATCATATTAACTAACATTTTCAACGAAAAAATATATCTCGATAATTAATTATATACTCCAGGCGTGTCGATTTCTTGAAAATGTTCATATCCTCCCAGTTTTATCCATATGTACCCCAATATTCTTTTAATTCATTGTTCTATCCATATCGTTACACAAGAAACCCCCGATAATTGTTTAAATTCCGGTAAAAAAAATTATGAGATACAGTCTGCAATGAAGATAAAAAAAACAACCAAAATTTTCGTTTTAAAATTTTTTGAATAAATTATCGATGGAATCAATGTGAAAACCATAACATTTTTGCGTTTTGCCATTATTTAATGGCTCACGAAGTTCTGTGGTGGTACGATCATTTTCATACATTTTTTCTAGTTTTGTAATTTTTTTTTTAAGTTTAGGAAAAATGCTTCTACTACCTTGAAACTTTGTGAATCATGAAATAATGCTAAAAAGTCCAAACGCTATATTTTTTTACGTCAATCTCAGTTACTTTGCCAGAAAAATTTAAAAAATGTTAATTTTATTACATATGGATGTAAAACACTTTCTTGCCAAGTTCATGGCTTACTAAAATATCATACAAACGCTAAAAAAATATGAAATATAATATTGGAACTTGTTTTTTTTTTAAGACAATTTCTTGGACAATTATTGGAAATTAATACATTCGTCTCATGGAATTAATCAATTCAAGCAACAAAAAATTTTGCCGCTAGAATATTTAATTGTAAATGAAAATGAACTAAGATAAAGTAATTTGGACTATTTTAAAAATAAGTAATTAATTTAGCAAATAATTGAGATTTGTACGTTTTAAATTGATTATTGGCCCTGAAAAGGGCCTTTTGGTTATGATCACGGTGTAATTGAATTAGTACATTCAATTCACTTCTTCTGCGCTGGTTTCCTAGTCGTTGCTTTGGCCTTGGGCGAGACAGTCTTCTTCGGTTTAGGTGCCTTAGGTTTAGCTGTTGGTACTTTCGTAGCTTTCTTAGCTTTCGGACTTTTAGGCTTGGCTGCGGCCTTCACCACCTTGGGTTTAGCAGCTGGTTTCTTCACAGCAGGTTTCTTCGGAGAAGCTGCTTTCTTCGCCTTGGGTTTTGCTGCTTCGGTCTTCTTCACAGGCTTCTTGACAGCAACCTTTGTCGACGATCCCTCCTTCTTGGCAGCCTTGGGTTTAGCCTTTGGCTTTGAAGCGTCAGTCTTCTTCGCAGCAAGCTTGAACGATCCAGATGCACCATTTCCTTTAGTTTGCACCAAAGTTCCAGCAGTGACTGCTGACTTCAGGTACTTCTTGATGAAGAGTGCGTGTTTCTGGGTGTCAATCTTATAGTTGGCAGCGATGTACTTCTTGATGGCCTGAAGAGATGATCCGTTACGTTCAGCAAGAGTTTTGACAGCTGTATTGACCATATCAGCCGTACTAGGATGCGTTGGTTTAGGCTTTGGATTTTTAGCCTTCGCTGCTTTCTTCACAGCTTCAGCCTTAGGAGCTGGAGATGCCGTTGATGCAGCAACTGGTGATGCGGTTTTATCTGCCATCTTCAATTGGATGTAGAATGCTTCGACTTCGTGGGTTGAACTGGAGTCTTCGAATGATTGTCAGCGCTCAGTTACCCCAAGTAGATATTCGAGCGCGGACCGTGGAGAGAGGCGCCTTGATTCTGACACCACAACTTCGACGTCTCACAGCTGCAAATGGTGCCCGTTTCCCAATGTTTTTATTTATTTAGAACTATTTCAATAATCTCAGCATCTTCATCATCATCACATTCAATTCGTGAATGTCATAGCAATCTTCAAAACTTTTATTTTCACGGAAAAGACGAGAGGATTATAATTAATTCATCGAAATGTTCGTCACTTCCTTCCGATGTTTTGACTGCTGCTGCAGTTAAACATTCGTTGTATAAACAATTTATGAATTTTGGTGATGTTGTTGATTTTATTTTATGCTAGGATGATTAACGAATGTGGAGAATGGAAATTTATTGGTGAAAAATAAGAGTTGGTGGGAAATTTTGAGGAGATTATAGCGCGAGTCCGATCAGATCGTAAATACGCATCTAGCGACTTATTGTATATCCTATAAGTGAGAAAAGTTTTACGAGTGAATTATCATTTTGGAAAATATAATCGTTTTTAGGATTATACACTTTTTTCTCGTGAGTTATATGTATTTTGTAATTAGTTTTGTTGTTTTAGAGGAAATGGAAATGTCCGGAGTTCAACGCTACGTAAGGGAGAAATACGTAGAGAATTCGTGAGCTGAATATTTATATTGTCGTCTCTTAAATATTAACTATATTGTTTTATAAAATTAATGGTTAGTTAAATAAAGCGTATTTAACTGGAAGAAGAGGAACAAATAATACAGTTAAATTATTTAACCGAGTATGCGGTAGTTTTTGTTTTACAAAAAAAAATTGTGTCGCATTTTGTGGAGAGCTTCCAATTTTTCGAGGCTTAACGAGTTTTTAGAATTTACAGTTGCGATAGATTATTGTTTAATACAGATTTTTATGTTTCGCTATAAGCCGTATTGACTATTAAGATTACATGATAATAATGTCATTTACTGATATTAATAGAAATATTGAATAAAAATTGCGGAACTCAATGCCTTCACCAATAACGGAAGCCACTTGCAAGATTTATAATAGTATATTTTATTCCAATTGTATATTTCTCTCTAAATAGCTCTTTTGAAATTGTTTGGTGAAAAATCATTTGAACTTATAATAGTTTTTATTTATTTTGATAAACTGCCAATAAAAATACAGTCTCTAGTTTATTGTAAAATATAACCGCTATGATCTGAACTTTTTTGTTTATTTTACTTTATTTTAATTTTTGGTACGAATGTTGATTGTTATTTCAGATTATTGATAATTTTTGTATTTTCAATAGATAGAATGTTGAAGAATAAATCATCTTTAGATTGGAGGTGAGTGCATCTTTGAAAAGTACTAATAATAATATGGAGTTTAAAATTATAAGGCACATAATTCCGAAATCCTGGAATCTGTTTTACTATTCGATGCTATATTTTTTGCATTCTACTTATTATTTGTGTAAATTTTATTTCGAATATTAACCATGGTAAGGAAAATGAGCGATAATGAGGTATTCTCTCGTAAAAATATTTGATGGCCCTGAAAAGGGCCGTTTGTTATCAGCATATTGATAAGATAATTTAAGAGCTGCTTTTTTCAGTCTTCTTTGGAAGAAGTACAGCCTGGATGTTGGGAAGAACACCGCCTTGAGCGATGGTGACTCCCGACAATAGTTTGTTCAACTCCTCGTCGTTACGGATGGCCAATTGTAGATGTCTAGGGATGATCCTAGTCTTCTTGTTGTCACGAGCTGCGTTGCCTGCCAACTCAAGGACTTCAGCAGCCAAGTATTCCATAACTGCTGCTAGGTAAACTGGAGCTCCAGCACCAACTCGTTCTGCGTAATTTCCTTTGCGTAGCAGACGATGAATACGGCCTACTGGGAATTGAAGACCAGCTCTCGTTGAACGAGTCTTGGACTTTCCCTTGACTTTGCCACCTTTGCCGCGTCCAGACATATTGTAGAAATTTTAATTCGACGTTAACTCAATGAGAGATAAATGAGGAATGATGTGAACTCCAGAAATTCAGGTATATATAGGCTTGGGCGTTTGCAGCGCCGAGCCAATGGAAACTGCGCAGTAGGGCGTGTGCGCAACAGTCTCATCTGATTGGCTCGGCGCTGCAAACGCCAACGGTATTAAAAGAGGTGGCTCTGTAAGGCACCTCACATTTTACTTCTGCTCTCCAGTTCGTAAACACTGCCATTTGACGAAAATGCCACCCAAGGCTAGCGGTAAAGCTGTGAAGAAGGCTGGTAAAGCCCAGAAGAATATTACCAAGACCGACAAGAAGAAGAAGCGTAAGAGGAAGGAGAGCTACGCAATCTATATCTACAAGGTCTTGAAACAAGTTCATCCGGATACGGGAGTTTCGAGCAAGGCCATGAGCATCATGAATTCCTTCGTCAACGATATCTTCGAACGAATTGCAGCTGAAGCATCGAGATTAGCGCATTACAACAAGAGATCAACCATTACGTCTCGGGAAATTCAGACAGCTGTTCGTCTTCTCCTCCCTGGGGAGTTGGCCAAGCACGCCGTCTCTGAAGGCACCAAGGCTGTCACCAAATACACCAGCTCAAAGTAAATCAATTTTTTGATTTTACAATCCAATCGGCCCTTTTCAGGGCCACAAATCTATTTAAAACGTGGTTTTCTTGTCGCAATTACAATAATAGTTTAAAAATAATACTAAATTTTTATTCCGTTAATTATACTTTACCTAATTGAACGATATTATTCAACAAATTACTTAAAGAAATAAGAATACATAAGTAGCTTTCGGTAAAATTTTTGTTTGCGTTGCGTCGAAGACGAATCGTAAAGTTAATGCGGAATCTTACTAGATTTAAATGTAATCAGCTGAACATGTTTTACCTAACCTCATTTATACTTTTTCAAAATACATGAATGCAAAGGAATAACGTGATAATTATTAAATCGACCACTGGGCGATGGTCTGGCTTCTTAACCATTTAATTCATTCTTTAAATCACTTTTCCATAATTAGAGTTTTAATAATGTTCGTAGGCAGACTAATAAATTAATGAATGAATAGAATGCATAGAACAGTTTGTCGTAGAATAAACAGTAATTATTTATATTTTCGGAGAATTCATTATATTTCGACAGTGAATATTATTCTAATATATTTCAAAGTAATTACCAGTAGCAAAAGTATTCTCTCTCAAAAATTGTGCACAAATTTTACAACTACTGTGATGGTATGAAATATGCCGAGTCCAATTGGTCATACATGGATGAATAAATAATGAATAATAATATTAAATTCAGCGTGGATTGAATTGCAACGTAAAAAATAATTATTGGCCCTGAAAAGGGCCGGTTTTTGTGTCGAGTAGGTACACTTTAACCTCCGAATCCGTAGAGAGTGCGACCTTGACGTTTCAATGCGTAGACAACGTCCATAGCTGTGACAGTCTTCCTTTTGGCGTGTTCGGTGTAGGTGACTGCATCACGGATGACGTTCTCAAGGAATACCTTGAGGACACCACGAGTTTCTTCGTAGATCAAACCAGAAATACGTTTGACACCACCTCGACGAGCGAGACGACGGATGGCTGGTTTGGTAATTCCCTGGATGTTATCACGAAGAACTTTACGATGGCGCTTAGCTCCTCCTTTTCCCAATCCTTTTCCTCCCTTTCCACGACCAGTCATCTTGTCTTATGATTGAAGGACACGTCAAGTAAACAAAGTGCTCACGCAGCGAATGATAGAATTTTCTCTTAAACACGCGTCTTTATAGAGGCCTGGTTGAGTCATCCCCCACCATGGGAGAATCCACCAATGACTAAGCAGCAGATCATTTTTCCCCCGCTCCGCTCATTTCCACCAATCAGAGAAATCCCTCTGTTATATAACACGGGTCATTCCATGAGGAATATCATTCCTTCTCTTCGTACTCTCAACGTACAATCTAGCAGGGACTTTGACGCGATGGCCCGTACCAAGCAAACGGCTCGTAAATCGACTGGAGGAAAGGCTCCGAGGAAGCAGCTGGCGACCAAGGCCGCTCGTAAGAGTGCCCCAGCAACTGGAGGAGTTAAGAAGCCCCATCGTTATAGGCCAGGAACTGTAGCTCTTCGTGAGATTCGTCGTTACCAGAAGAGCACTGAGCTTCTCATCCGTAAACTGCCCTTCCAACGACTTGTTCGTGAGATCGCCCAGGACTTCAAGACCGACTTGAGATTCCAGAGCTCAGCTGTGATGGCTCTTCAGGAAGCCAGCGAGGCCTACCTCGTCGGTCTTTTTGAAGACACCAACCTCTGCGCCATTCACGCCAAAAGAGTCACCATCATGCCCAAGGACATCCAGTTGGCTCGTCGAATCCGTGGAGAAAGAGCTTAAGTTAGTTTCACTCCAATTTATTCAAATCGGCCCTTTTCAGGGCCAAAAACCGATTCAAACTAGTCGAGCCAATTTCTAAATACCAATCATCTAAATTCGCGATTAAATTCAATAATTCGTTAAAGTAAATATTTCCTTTTTTTAAATAATTTAATAACTTTCCATTTTTTAAAATTCATCATTCATCTTGACAACATAATTTTTTAAATCAATATCATTGAATAGTAGACGTGTAAACAATATTCAACTCAAATTCAGTACATCCATTTTCACGCAGATTTTCCACACAATTTTCTCTGTCAATAAATAAACAACCAATTTTCAAATCAATATCATACGCTCTCGACACCGACTCAACAAAAAAAACAGTACAACCGCGACAATCGAATTTCCCCTCACAATGAAATCCCTCAAAAGACTTCAATCAACTTTAAAACCCACAATTAACTTAATCACTCTCAATCTATTCCAAAAAATCTGTTTTTCATTCGGTCTCGCGCCCTTTCACGTAAAAATCAAAGAATCTCCAACCGACAGTTCAAAGTTCACCATCAAATTTTCACAATCTCGGAACAAATGCGTTTATAATATTAGCCTAGTGCTTCTGTTCATTATCGTTTTTAGCTACGTAATTAAAATGAAATGGAGCTCGGAACTCATTTGTGATTTACTCTTATGTGGATGTAGTTCAATTAACGTTCTTATTTTCTGCTACCGCAATTCCGATCTTACATCAATAGGAAATCGTCTAGAAGAATTTGATAACGCGGTTTCAATGAGTTTATCTAAATTCTATCACTGCAAAGATGCGATATGTCATATCACCATTGTAACACTCATTAGCGCAATTATCCTCGTAATGACACTTGTATTATCCGCGATATCCACTGAAAGATTAACGTACACCGTTTTAGCGATAATTCTGGAGTCAATCTACTGTCTTTTTTGGATTCAATACGTCATGATTGTGATACTCTTGAGGAATAGATTCGCTGGATTAAATGAATCATTAATGAGAATTGCTAAAGCTGATATGAAGAGGAAAACAAGTTCCTTTCATATTTTTGGTTTTTCCAGTGCAACTGAAAAATATATTGTAGCAATTAGACAAGCGCGAAATACCATCCACGAAATTTCTGATAGTGTTGAGGATGTCTTCTCCCTTCCAGCACTTGTGGCTATCGTTCAGGGCTGTGGCCTAATTATTTATAATAATTACCAGATAATAATTCCTTTTATCATGATCAATCCACCATCCGCTATCTATCCCGGTTACAATTATATTTGCTGGAATATTTTGTACTCCTGGATCATCGCGTATCACAGCATAAATGTTAATAAACTCATTGAAGAAGTTTGTATTTACCGCATCATGATTATTAATTAAATAATCGATATTACAATTTATTTATTACATCGAAATGTTTTAGACTTACAAAACGATCGTTATAGTTTACGACGTGATAGATACTTACCAGGAAAATGCTGTCGTGAAATCTCTAGTATTTATTATCAATTTTGATAATTGTTGTTATCATTGTGATTAATGTTTATTTGTTTTTAGTTGACTGACTTCTCGTATGAATCATTGAACCGGAAAATACGGTTCACTGCTTGGAAAATGGTCTCTTTGGACTGCAGTCTCCTGTTGTCAGTGAGTCTCATGATTGTTTATTTATTTATTATTGTTTAATTAGCCCGTGGTTCTTTATTCGTGCAGATTCTCAGCATGATGGGGACTTATTTGGTGATTGCTCTGCAGTATAAACCGAGTGCTAATTCAAATTAATGGAGACAATCCTTTAGAATTGAATAAACAATAGATCTTAGATTTATAATTAATCAACGAGATTCAGTGAATAGATTTCAGGGATTAATTAATCCTTGTCGCTATTAAATTAATTATTAATAAATAATTAATTAGGTTAGAGGGAGAAGTCTAGAATATTCTGGATATTTACGTAATTACTATTTTTACTCTAATTCTACGCAATAGACTAGAGCACTTTTGATTTTTGTAGACAAAAATCATTTCGATGTTTACGTAAATCACGCGCGAATGCGCGCATTTTCGAGTGAATTTCACGGTCAATTACTTCTTCAATCACTTGGGATAGGTTTTAGTGTACCAGGTCATTTATCGCTTCGAGCTGAACGTCAGTCAACGATTAGCATGCTCTCATTTGACGTCAATAGTTCTTATAAAATCTCAGGATGCATCAGTCTTTTCCGCAGTCCACAAGACACCCAGAGCTACTCACAACGATTAAAGCCATCGAACTACAGGCAATTCTGATATCTACAAGAATAAAAAAGCAATGGTAAGGATTTAATACTGCAAATATAACATTCAGATAAAAATACAAATTTTTTTATACGAAATTTTGGAGATTTTCACATTTTTAGGGAGAAATCATTCCAATCGATTCAGTCATTCTTTTTTTTTCAATTGGTATTTTATTGTTTATAATATTTGAATGAGTTTTAATCAAAATTTTCCTAATTTAATGAATTTTTTTCACTTTTATGTGGAAATAATCGAGTTTTTTAAGAGAAAAATGTTTTAGATTTTTAATTTGTGGATTTTATCTGTCTAGGGACTGAAGATGATCATCATCATCCTGAGTATTTTGTCGTGCAATTTATGTAGAATAAATGCTATGGCGATTCCTGGAGGTGTTCTCGTCGCTTCTGAGATTCATGCGGAACCTTTTGAAGTGATTCTCTTTGAACCTGGATTAAGACAGCCTAAAGAATCTGAAAATCGTGAAGACGGAGTAACGAAGAGTCCTCTTCTTCAGCGGTCAGAACGCATGGCAAGATCTGTACTGGAAAAATCATCAGAGGATCTTGATGATGATTTAGAGACAGCAGCAGGCACCAATGTTTTACGCCCGTTATTTGTTTATCGTCAACAAATGGCGTATCGTGAACGAAGCAGAAAAAATGGACGGAGGGCTGCACCAACTTATTAAATTTTCTCTGGGGGGAAAATCTTTGAGAGCTGCAAGACTGAGATGATGTGTTGAGAAAACCAAAGTTTTCAATGAAAATGTGAATATATATAGCTCAAAGTTTGACCATAATCCCCAGTTGGATTGGATATTGCACTCCATTAGAATATTAATAATTCAGTAAAGCTGTCATTTATTCATGATGTCATGTAGCTTTACTGGAAGAGCAATAAAAATTACTGATAATTCACATCCTATTAGTTTCATGAATGATAAATAATTACTATAACTGCATCATCTCCTTATCGTCTGCTTATGGTATTAATATTAATATTAATATTAATATTAATATTAATATTATTACCTCATAAGTTTTTCCTTTTTTGTATGCATTTTAATTTAATGCTGTGAAGAAATTGTTGAATCAATCGATCAATCAACTTTCGATTTAATAAAGATATTTTTATTAGGAAGGAAAATACAAAAATAGTTCAATAGTAAAAAATGCAACATTTGAAGGAATTTTACGTGATTTAAAATAATTTTTTGTGTTTTTAGGTTTTACATACGATTGATCTGTGATCTTGGATTATATCTGCTCAGCAAACACGAATAGTATTCCTTCCAACGAGCATAATGACACCAGTATCCTGTAGTCCTTTCAGGGAATCCTCGAACATGTCTCGCGTTACCAATATCTGCATGCTCTCCTTCAGTTCGTTCAAGATCTTTTGATAGTTGAGGGAAGCAACTTTTCCTTTGGCTTCAATTAATTTTCTCAAGGCAGTGGTCACGTCATTCTGGCGTTTCCTTGAAGCTGCTGATATTCCAGTGGTGAGAATACTCACATCAATTTTTCCACTCAACGGATCGATGGCTGATTGCTTCAAGGCCTCACGGTGCAATCTGCAATAATTAATGTTTATTATTAAAAATAATAATCAGAGATTATTAAGGTGAGCGAGCAGATGTGGGATTATTAATGTTGATATTTAATGTTTATAGTTTATGTACCTCCATGCTTCCTCCACATCGACAACCTCTACGACTTGACTGAAACGAACTTTAGCATGAGCCTCTGACAATCGGATGAGTGATTCCAATTGTCTGGGGTACGCGGTGATTTGTCCTCGTCCACTTCCAACTCTTCTCATGTCCACGTACGCCTGAACCAGTCTCTGCTGAGACTCTTCGCTCAACGTCGGATGAATATGTTCCTTCGCAAATGCAATATAATCCCGTAAAATGCCTAAATCAAAAATATCATCCTCAGGTTCTTCTTCATCAGTCAAGTACAGAGACACCAGATGCTTCGCCAATTTCCGATCGAATTGTTCACTCTGGGGATCCAGCATCAGGAATATCAAATCAAATCGAGACATCAATGTGTGTGGCAGCTTGACATTCTCGACAACTGTTTTATTTTTATTCCACTGGGATTCATCGGGATTGGCAGCTGCCAAAATACTTGTTCGAGCATTCAATTGACAGATTATCCCGGCTTTTGCGATACTCAGTGTCTGCTGCTCCATTACTTCGTGCAGAACTGAACGTGTGCTGTCATTCATCTTGTCGAATTCATCGATGCAGCAGATTCCGTTGTCAGCCAGAACCAGTGCTCCAGTCTGGAGAACTAGCTGACGTGTCTCTGGATCTTTTGTTACGTAAGCTGTCAGACCAACTGCACTGGATCCTTTTCCACTGCTGTACTGAGAACGTGGAACTAAATTGAAAACAAACTGGAGTAATTGGGATTTACTGGTACCAGGATCTCCACACAGAAGAATATTTAATTCCGAACGAAAATGAGTTCTTCCCGATGTCACGTGAGTTTTTTTAGTTCCACCGAACAACTGAAGAAGAATTCCTTTCTTTATGTCCTCATTCTCGTAGATACTTGGCGCAATGCAACGAGCCAAACGCTCGTACACGTCTTCTTTCAACGACAGCTCCTTCAGGAGTTTCAATCTCTCTTCAGGGAAAATATGATCTTTCCCTTCCTGCTGCTCGTGCAATCTCTGCGAATCCTGCTTTCTGAAGTGAACGACATCGATGTGCGTCTTGTAAACAGCACGAACATTCGACATTCTGGGATTGAGTTGAATTGGCATGGCTCGGTAAATTCCAGTAACGGCGACACGATCACCAGGTGACACAGCATCCACGAGATCGTTATGGGCAAAGCAGAGGACAGTATGAGGGGTCTGACCAGCAGCCATATCATCTGGTGATTCTTGCAGCTTAATCATTTGTTTGTCCGAAAAGTGGCTGCGATTATGAATGAGACTGAAGCAGTAATTATTGTTGCAGTGAGTGCAGACTGTCGGCTCGGAAATTCTCCCTCTGTCAACTTCCACCATCGTCGAGAAAGCGCAGACAATGCACCTGAAAAAAGCCTCTCGCATTTCTGGCATAACGTTGGATGTTCTTATCACCATTCCTGATATGGTTATCAGTTGATCGATGTCCTCGGGATTCAACATTCTCATGTTCTTCGTTTTTGCTACGTTGAATGGCCTCACTTGAATCTGATGCTCCAATACAGCAGCTGGAAATTTCTCAAAGAACATTTCATTCGCTGCCATATCCATTGTGGGAATTACCTCTTGGGGATAGCAAATTAACTGCTGGTAGAACTGTTCGTCGAAGCTCTCCAGGTGAGCGCAGTTGATGTTCAGGTATGGCTCCTCCAGCGTGTGAATTTCCTCGAGCTTTTGGAGGTACAGAGGCTCTTCACTGTTCAAATCATCAGTTAATTCATCGTTCTCAGGATCACGATCGATAAATCGCTCGATGAAACGCTTGAACTGCTCCTTGCAACGATTCACTACGACATTTGTACCCCAGATAACGAGTTGAGGTCCTGCAGATTCACTTTCAGATGTTTTTGCTCCATTCACTTCTTCTGAAATCTTGACATTTTATTTAGAATTAAAAAATCGTTTAGAAAGGGATATAGATATATTGGAAGAAATAAAACTCAATAATAAAATCTTATTACCGGTTCCGTTACATTCACTTGACGAATTCTCTTATCAGTTCTGATATCAGGCCTTTGTCTAACTGGAGTCCCTCGAATTCCACTCCTCGGTGTTCTGATGGATCCCAGGGAACTTGGTGTTCCATAATTGAGTGGTGATGATAAATCCACATCGCTCATGCCAACTATGGGACTTGTCTGGAGAATTCGATTTGGCGAGCTTGCAGGGACCGAGCCAGGACCCTCTGAAGAAGCTGCAACTGTTTCTTGAGTGACTCGTTGACTTCCATGACGTCTTTGAGGTGTTGTTATCAGCGAGGATGCTGAGGCTTTTTGTAGACCTGTAAGTGCACAATAAAATCATTAACATCAAATTATTATTATTACATTATTAATATCAATTAATATCAGTGTAATTGATCATTTCAATTTTTAAGTATGGAAAGACGATAAATATTTCTGCCAAGGAAATTTATTCAATACAAATAAATGCTTGCATTGAGGAAATTTAAAAATAATATGTGAAGATTCTTACAGGTAGTTAATTTATTTGACAAGTTATTTATTTTTGGCAGTTAAAAAAAGGAACACTAACCTTGCTTGCTGGGTGTTTCTCTGGCAGCTGAGCCTTGAGGTGTTTTCGATGACGGAGTTCTTGGTTGTCTTCTTGGAGTTCCATTATTTGACACGTGATCATCATCTGGAACTCCTGGTGTTGCTGGTGGTTTCATAGGACTCGACATTTTGATATTCTCTCAGTTTTTTGGAGATACAATAAAAATATCGAGTGGTAGAAGACGCCCACTGGAATTTCACCGCGCGATTTATCCTGAGGATCCCAATCTTTTCGGCATTTTCCCGCGTGAAACTCTGGGACTGGGATAATAAATTAATCAGAGGTGAAACTCAATTGGTGGGGTGCAAATTAGAGGCGGGGGCAGCGCCACTTGTAGCGAATTCAAATACTAACTCCGTCAACTCCGTCGGTAACAAAAACATCTTGACCGATTGAGTCAAATTTAAATAATTTTTATAATAAACTAATAATAAACCTCAGAGTGAAGTATATAGATAGTAAAAAAAAGCGCAAAGTCATTTTTTTTTTGGTTTTCGAAAACAATTTTTCGTGGGTGGAAACCGATTCGATCAATATTCGGTTATGCAACGTGAATAGTTTATTATAAATGCAGTATTAATTGTTTAAACTATCTGAAATCAGTTCCAAATCAGTTCCAAATGATAAAAATTTTTATTGAATGGAAATATTTTTTGTAAATTGATTTTTCCGCGTAAAATCACCCGCCAGTTTGAGCGGCCATTTTGTCGGCGAATCAGAGTCTTCCATTTGCTGAAATTCAATATAACAACAATCATACAAGGAACAAATATAAATTTCGCATAAATAATTATGATTATTAGACACTTCAAGTAGAAAAATAAAGTTGCAACTCAAAAATTAAATATTTTTAAATTTACAGGTTCAGTATATCAACAGAGGATATAGTGGATCTACAATCTAGATATATTACGTCTATGGCGAAATCCATTCTTTCTTATCCAATTTCTCGTTGGCAAGTTTTCTATTCTAATAAGTGTGTCCACCCATCGGGTGAAAATCGTGCAATGGCCATCAGTAAAATCATTGAAGTGCTGTTGTGTATAAAATGTGTAAAATGTAGCCGTTAATATAACCCACTCTGTTTATAAAAAATAACGTATAGGTAACACTGAGAGGATTAACACAATCAACACATAATAACGAACAATTCAAAGTTGTTTTATTCCCAATTTCGATAGTGAAAATTCACTGATATTTAATAATTCGTTGCGCAATTTGTTTCGTGCAAGTGACGCTTATTCGTGAACGTTATTTATTCCATGACTTCTTCACCCGATAATACGTACGTAATTAATCAATGATCGTAGGAGAATGCTCTCCGAATTAATAGATGAAAAAAAAAAAAGATTGCATTACTGAGTTGTAGTCGTGTTTCATACGTTTCTGCTTGATTTTTTTTTCCAAGGTTTCTCACCATTTGTCCACTTATGGTGAAGTCGTGAGCATTTCCGAGATTGTTTTTAAGGATTTTGTCGGGTCTTTAGGACGTATTTGAGGTTTTTATTTTGTTGTTGATCATATGGGTTTTGATTAATTATCAATTATGGACATCCTTGATTTTAATTGTCATGTATTATTTTATGGTATTTTAGGTTAGTGGAAAATGACAGTATTAGAGGCAGAAGAAGATTCGGATGAGCGATCCGTTCCCCCCAGGAAAAAATTTTGCTTGTCTCTGTCACGACGGGATCATAATATTAATAAAAATTTATCTCAGCCCCCTCACTCGTCTACACGAGGGGGCTTCTTCGAGGATCAAGATCTTCCTTATAGTAAGTAAATTAAATTCATCCATTCAATTCCAAAAATTTATCAATTACTCTCATCTATCCTTTCTGAAATAATTACTCCATAGTACTCTTTACATATTTTATTTATTTACTACTGGTGTAGTTAATGGATAATATTTATGCAGGCACGAGCAAAATGTTGAATGGATATCGAAGTCACCTCGGCAATCATCAAGACACATCTTACGATATTATTGGGGGCTGCTCTGAGAGTTTGAGAATTGCAACTCTATGTAATCTTGGGAATACATGCTTTCTGAATAGCGTTATATATACGCTACGTTTTGCACCATCGTTCTTGCACAATTTACATCATCTTGCGACAGATCTATCGAATCTTAATGAGAAACAGTCACAGGTAAAGGTGAGAATCATTTTATATATTTATAAATATAAATATATATTTTTATTTTGATTTAGTGACTAATATTTTAATGATTAATGATTTCAATTAATTTATATTCTGTCTTTTAGGCAAAATCATCATCCCTTGGACGTACAGGTGTTTCTCTCACGTCAAGTGGTAATCGAAGTTGGAGTAGTAAAGATTTATCGGCGTTGTCTGGGCTGGGTGAGCTGAATAAACCAAGGATACAAGTTGCCACTGAAAAATTACATGAGTTATTTATGGCACTGAGGGTATCTGAGACTAAGGAGAACAGCGAGCCTTATCAGCCCGATGCATTTTTGCAGGCTCTGAGGTACATTCATCACTTATTAAATCCATAAATCATGATTTTGTCAATCGGCAACTGAAGTTGTAGAAATAATTTTCATTAAACAACTCCTCTATTTTCCTGATTGATATTTTTATTGAGAAATTGTTACATTTGTCGATGAGATCTGCAATCATTAATATTTATCTCTGGAATAATTCTTATTGTTTATTTATTTCTTCTATATTTCTAGAGAGGTCAATCCCATCTTTGAAGGCAATCAGCAACAGGATGCACACGAGTTGTTGGTGTGTTTACTCGATAATATTCGAGAAACATTTCAATTGCTCGTTAGATATCGAGAGAGCCAATTTGGCCAGAGCAATGGTGGCCTTGGGGATTTACATATGGATCGTATCAATGATATGCAATTCGAGGGAACTGGCTCTGGTAAACGCAGCATAAGGAAGAAAAAGCAGAAGAAATATCCGTCGACTCATACACGCGGTAGTATGAGTTGTTTGCCGCAGTCTAATGTCAATGGCATGGCATCAAGACCTTTTGAAAATGGACATGCTGATTTTATGCCTAGCAATGGTGAAGCCTATTATCCACCTGAGAGTAAACAATGTTTTATTTCTGAGGACTTTGAGGGCGTCAGTTTGCTACGTACAACTTGTCTCGAGTGTGAACATGTTACTGAGAGAAAGGAAACATTTTGCGATATTTGTGTCCCCATTGACACTGGAAGATCCAACGAGAAAGGTAATTTGTTATTCTATTAATTCGATAATTGCTTGAATGAATAATCACTACGGATTTATCCATTATCAGACATAAATTGACATTTATAAAGATTCAGGTGGAATCGATTGTTAAGTGTTAGAGTTATCATTTGATAATTTAATTTGACGTGTCTTTACAGACGAGAGTGGAAAATCGATAGACAGCTCAGAAGTGTACAGACATTTGGTTGTGACCAGTGAATTTCTGTCTGGAAGAGACAAGTATTGGTGCGCCAGCTGCTTGAGATACAACGAAGCTCAAAGGGCTGTCAGTTTTCCCTCATTGCCGAGGCTACTTGTTCTGCAATTAAAGAGATTTTCCACTGCTGCGGGGTAAATTGTTCCTTTCATCTCAAATTTTTATTCAAGATCGTGCATGGATGACAATTAATTTTTCGATTTGATTATTCATTGATGAGATGACAATTACGAATGGAAAAATTCATTTCAGATCTATGGAGAAGATAAATAATTACATGCCCACCCCTTTGACTCTTCAATGCTTCTGTGAGCAGTGCAGTAATGAGCAGCAGAGTGGATCGTCCAACAGACAAGGAGAATCTCGTCACGTTTACAAGCTTTACTCGGTGATTATGCATCAGGGTGCGACAATGACAGCTGGACATTACGTTGCGTACACTAAAGTCCCTGAGGATTCAACGTACAACGAGTACACTCATTGCGGTAGAGATTGTCGTCGACAGAATGTATCACAGAGCAGCACCTCTGGTAATTCTAATAATTCGTCATCCACTGGAATAATGAAATACTTCAAAAGTAAACAGAATATCAGTGAGAGTAAGGAGCATCTGCTGAGAATGGGATGTCGCAGTATGGATTGCTGTGGCATACGACGTGGAAAACACTTTGGCACTTGGCTCGAGTGCGATGATGAAGCTGTCAGGGCAATACCCGAACATGAATTACAAGATAAATTAGCCTCAAATCCACGTAACTCGGCGACTCCCTATCTGTTGTTTTACGTCAGATCTGCAACGTAAAATTCAATCATTCCTTTTTACTGATTTTTTCTCATCATCCTCTACCTTTCTATCTCAATTGTTTCGAATATTTCCCTTGTATCGAAGATATGTATCAAATGTTTTCATTTCAAATTAAAAACTTCGAATACCAATTCAAGTCTTTTCATTTTTTTTCTATTTTAAGTGTATTCAAAATGACTATTGAATCTTGTGAAGTAAAATAATATTTTATTTCTAAATGAGAGATTTATCTCATTTCATTGAATTATTTATCGGGTAAAGGGAGAAATTGTAAAATTTGAATAATCGGGAAATAAAATCGAAGGGTTTGATCGTATTGAACGCGATTTCGAGTAATAAATTTTGTTCTACTGTCAATGAGAGCGAAACAGGAAAAAAGCGATCCATATATCGATTGCAGGAGATAGGGGTCAGTGGTGCTCGTGCGTTAGACCTGATGTCGTGGTTTTTCTCCACTTTATGTTCAAACGTTTGACTTGGAACAACCCCTAGTTCAAATTTAATTGTGAATTTACCATTTCACCCGCTGCACTTTCTCTCATATCTAAAAATTCATTAAGAAAACGAAAATGATAACGAAATTATAAACTGTGCACTGAGGTAAGTGCATTTTTCGATTTTTCGAATTAAAGATAAGGACTGAAAAATAGTTCTTATCGAATTTTTATTATCGAATTTATTAGCAACTTATAACAATTGATTGTTTTTTTTTCTTCTCGATCTTCTGTTATTTTTTTCCCGCATTTAGTTTTAGTTTTTTTTTGTGTATTAGTTAATTAATATATTTGTTTAATTGTTTTCATTATCGTCTGATAATTATGACGGATTTTTTCATCATTTCTTACATTTTCCGGTGAGTAAATTTTTTAAAATGAATCTCATTATTTTTTATATGTTTAATACTTTTGCAATAAAAAATATAGAGCCCTGAATGTTTGAATCTCAATATTTTTCATATTGTTACAATTTTTTTGCGCCTCAGAAAGAATTCTGAATTATTTAATTCACTTGCACTATGTCTATTTATTTATTTATCCCCATGCCATGCATCTCATGGCAATTATTTATTATTAATATCAATGGCGATTATTCATTTAGGGATAATATATTTATATTTATATTTATATTTATTATAAAAGTATTTTATTGCTGTTATTGTGGGAATTTTGGGAAAACTTGTTAGTGGAATGGAAACATTGAAAATTATTAATATGATGTGCATTAAATTCTGGAAATTATTAGAACAATCAATGAAATGCGACCTCTGTTCTCTAGGTTCATGAAAAATTTAAACGATGAAGTACCAGCGGGTTTCTGTCGATTTTGTCAACATGGTTTTCACAGCCTTCACGTATGTAGCTCTTGCTGGAGCTGTTTGGGTATTTCTCAGGTTATTACAAGCCTGTTTTTCATTACCCAAGCATTTAAAAAAACAAAATGACATACAACAAATGCTCCAGGACAAGGTAAGCCTATTTTTTTATAGAAATAATTTACAGGAATAATTATCTAAAGTTTAAAAATCAATTGGAAATAATTCTTCTGGTCGTTTAAATTTTTATTATCAATTTTTTGATAATAAAATTATTAGTTTACAGAATATTTTATTTAAATGAATAAATTTAGTTTTGTTTATAATTATTCTTTGTTTATTGCTGGGATTATCTATTTTTTAAATAGTGCGAAGCAAAATGAAATTCTTGTTAAGGTATTATTTTCTTTGAAAAATATATTGAATAGTTGATATATTGCGGTTGAATCTGAAAATTGGAGTTGAATAGTAATTTTAATTTTTGTTGGATAAATAAATATTATTCAGCTCGCATGTGACCTAGTTTTTCGTAAAATCAATGTCTTCTGAATATTGATAAACGCATCAGTGTTGACAAGATATATTTTGGGGGTGGAGTTCAAAGGGACACATGGTTTTCCTCCTCCATGAATATTAATAACACCTAGAATGGATAGAGGCCAAAAGGAATTGATTGATTGACAGAATTAATTAAGAATTATTAATTAATAGGAATTAGAATAGGAATTAGAATTAATAATTAATAAGAAAGACGTTTTGCCTTGAAAAAAACATCCTCAATGTTAATAAAATCTGTAATATTTATAACATTCGTGGAATATTAAATAAAAATTGGGGAAGTGACGGACATGTCAGTGAAAAAAAAAGTAAAACTTTTTATCGCATTAGGAAAATCAATAACAATAGTTAACTGACATAGTTAGATGCGGAAGGTGAAGGGCTCTCAGTGCAGAAAACTACCGGAAAAAAATTAATTATATAATAAATATGAACAAAACAAGATTAACAAGTAATTAGGAGATTTTTCAAAATTATTGAAGTAATTAGAAATTGATTAATGAATTTTATTTTCAATTAATATTCAAATTATTTAATGGAATGTCTGAAATTGTCTCAATTTATTTTAAAATTGCATAAAAGTCGAATTTTTTGTATTTGTTTATCAATATATTGTTTATAAATCCAAAAATATATAGAATCGATGAATATTTTCAGTGTTATATTTTTTGTCGCCGTTTTTCGTATTCAAAATGAAAAGAAAAAAAAATTTATTGAGATTCATTTACACTGTAATTAATTAATTATTAATTATTTATGAAACCACTTGGAATTCTGATATAAATGAATTATTATTCGAGTTGTTTAATTTTAAAAAGTGATTCTTCGTTCTGAATTGAAGAATGAAGAGTTTGGTTGTTAAAATTATTGATAGTGTTTTTTATTAATTAAATAATAATGCCAATAGGTGGACAGTTACGAGAAATACATTGAGGAATGCGAAGCGAAAGAGAAAGAAGCTGCAGAATCTGGTGAGACTGTAGTATCAGTGGATGAAAATGGTGAAGAGAGATCGGAAGTGCCAGTGATTGATGAGACAAAGTGGAAAGAGAGGAGAGAATGTTTAGAAATGTTGAAGAAAGAATTGAGAAGGGTCAGGGATGGTGGTGACCAATACGACTGGGATTATCTTCTTGAAGAGGACGAGAAAGAGGAAAAAGAGGAGAAGGACATCCTGGGGAAAGAAGAGAAAAAGGAGAAAGGGGAGGCAGAAGAAAATCACAAGAAAATGGATGACGAGACATTCAGTGATGTTGATGAAGAAAAATGCAAATCCAAGACACAACTCAACTTCAGGAATGATGTGGGCGATAAGAAAGAACCGGAAGAGATTCCAGTGGAAGAGAAAAAAAAGAATAAATAGGCTTGACCCATTTTTCAAGTGCACCGTTTGTCAATTATACTTCATACAACGGATAATTGTTTTTCTTTTGGGTAATTCGTGTTTTTTAATTGAACTATTTAGAAAAGTGCGGAAATTATACTCGTGTCTTCAGTGCCCAATTTGTTAATTAGTCATCATCATTAACGAGAGACTCGTCTATTGTTTATTTTTTAATTAAAAGTGATTATTTATTCATTCTAGATTATGTCTGACGGAGTGTATTAATACTGGAAATTTCAATTTTTTATGTTTGAATAATTGATACTCCATTGATTTGTTTATTATATAATTTTCAGGTTGAGATTGTTATATTTTAATGATACCCGATTAAATCGTATAACAAATTTGTCCTCTGGATTATTTACTCCTCTCATCTATTTATCTGATTAATTAACAATAAATAAACAGTTCCTGTTCACGAAATAAAATATATGGAAAGAATAATATATGTTAATAATTTATATATAATTGTAATATAAAATATAAATATTTGAATTTCGGTGAATTTATGGAAGGGGAACCCCCAAATTATACACTTCGTACATATTTTTCATGTATTATTCATAAATTTGATAAATATACCAAATTGACGGAAACTTTAATTTTTAATATATTGTTTATAATAGATTAAACAAATTACCTTGATTGACAAATTACCCTTACCAATTAATTTCCGCAAACCAATCATTAATTAATCAAAAACAATTGTCTGTCTCCTTCTTCCAACGGTTACTGCATTAATGTAAATGTTATTAATTAAAAAAATAATTATAAAAACAAATTCTTTATCGGGGAGTTTGTTAATTAGATTATTAGAACGCATGGAATAATAATTTTTTTATTGTGGTAAATGTCGGTAATTTTATGGAGAAACTATGAAAACAACCCCTTTGGTCTTTCCACTTTTCCTCAGCACGTGGCGCACCCTTCTACCCTACATTCAACTAATATATCAATAATAATAATAATAATGGGGTTTCTAGGATTGACCGTGGCGACATCCCCTATTCTGCGTCAAGGTCTTCCGCGGTCTTGAACCTTTATTTTTTTATCAAGGACTCAAAAAAAAATTTACCTGTCCTCTTTCCAAAAATAACTCAATCTTCCCGCCTAATTCGGGGGTGATTATCAGTAATTAAAGTGATTATCATTGAAAAAACCACCGGGTGTTGCAGCAATGGTGCGCAAAACCTCAGATTTACCCAGAAAACTGATCATGGAAAAATTACCGGATATCATCCCCTAAAAATGTGAGTACACCCTGAATATTTGGGGATAAAATCCCGTCGAGAGAATCAAATCTCTCGATTGTTAAAGCAATTAATAAATTTCGGTTATCAGATGAATTTTGGCGGGACAGGAATGCGCAAGCTCTTGTCAAATCAGTCAATAATTACCGGATATTCCACGTGTTGATTAATAAATGTTATAAACATTCTCGTTATTACTGATTTATTCTTGTCGAAGGGATAAGAATTTAAAGGGCATGGAAAGGGTTGGAAAAGGGATGGAAAGGAATGGAAAGGGATGGAAAGGGATGAAGAGGAATGAAAAGGGATGGAAAGGGATGGAAACGGATGGAAAGGAATGAATAGGGATAATTACGATTTATAAATCATGAATCAAAATGACGAATGATCAAGTAAAAATAACACTGAGGCAAGCTTGCAGAAACGTCAAAGGCAATGCAGTAAAAACACTAGCTATAGAATACTTATTGCAATTACCAGTGGCCATTGTTCCGTACGCGATAAGTTCTCGTTTTATTTAACCAAAGGGGTGTAATTTGTCAAAGAGGCCGCCGACCTCACGGCCATTAATGACGTCATAGATTACGTACCTGTCCCCTTATCTATTTCTATTTGGCCACAATATACCCTGTCGTTAAGGGTTCGTATAAATCCGTCACTGACCTATGGTGACCTTTATGCATTATTAAATCAAACGTACACTCCGATTTACGTCAGAGATTATGATTTAAAGTGTGAGACTCAAATTTTGAGTGATTGCTCGTCTTTCATTTCATCTTTTCTCGATAAAAATTACTGCGAATACTGGGGAGGGCATTTTAGTCCACTGGATGTCTGAAAAATTTTTAGAAACAATCAGTCAATTGGTATAAACAATCGTAATCATTTGTCATACCTTGCACTTTCATTGTCAGAGATAAAGACGTCATAATAGCTATTCCCCACAGGATACACGAATACTCGGATAAACAAATTGTTATGCAATAAAAAATATCACTCCAGTACTCTTGAATTTTATTTAATAATAATACTCTTCAATATATTAAAAAAAAAAATAAGTCGAGATATTACGATAGCATTATATTATTTTTAAAAATATTACAAATAAGGATTATTGTTGTTTTTTTTTCCTTATTTTTGTAATGTTTTGAAATAATATGTATTTTGTTGAAATATTCTCATCTGTAATATTTTTAAGCAATAATTATTTCAATTGTAATATTTTTTATTGTCATTTGAGGTTATATTTTGAGTTGTTATTCTGATGGGCAACCCTCATGATCTAGATGAAATCCCTCCCGATTTCACAGCAATCTAATAAAAAATCACGTGATTATTGTTTATACTGCACTGGGGAATAATAAATATGAGATATTTACTTTTTACATATTATTAGTTTTGGAATGATCGCAGAGGCGCCCATGCTTTCTGTCACTATTTTTCCGAGAGTGGAATCAAGGATGCAGTCATCGTCCTTATCCTTTTTACATAAATTAAACAATCATTAAATAAATTGCACTGAGAAAAAAGATTAAATCCGCCAAATGAATTGACTAATCCACTAATTCCTCAATTCACTAATTTTTATTTATTCTAGTTCTTCACTTATTCATCAATTAATCAATTAATTACTCCGCATTAATTCAATTTTTCTCCTTAATTCTTTTAGTTTAAATAAATAAATTTAAATTCATTTTTTAATTGCTTCTCATCAAGTAATTGTGAAATTTATTTGATAGGATTAATTATTATCTCACTCAAACCATTCACCACAAATTAATTATATTAATCATTAATAAATAATCATGCGTGATTGTTTAAATAAATTTTCACGTACCCCAATGAGAACTTTACCAACAGCTTCAGCCATTTTTATTACCCCACTATTTTCTGATTCTCCTTCCTTCAACAAATGGACAATTAAACAAATTGTTTATAAATTTTCAATTGATTTTAATCAATCCTCAATCAAACCTTTTGATTATTATTCTCCCCTTGATCCCCATCATCCCTGAAATTTGTATCAATTGAGATTTCGGTGGCAGAATGAATATTTATTATTCTCTTGTTAATGAAAATTGTTTGTTTATCAAATATCTTCTTCACCTGTTCAATAATCTATTCTCAACGCTCTTCAATATTTTTTTTCCCAGACTCTCATCATTTTTGCTGTCAGCTTCATTCCCTTTGGCTCCATCATCACCAGCTTCTGCATCATCTCCAGTTTCATCATTGTCTTTGCACAAGATGCAACTGTTTTTTGTGGATTCCCTTCAGGAATTCATCATGGAGTACAGAAAATCAATTAGATTGACAATTGCTTTAATAAATAATACTCACCCATCAGTACTACCATCAGTCCCACTCTCGTCCTAAAATTAGAGGAATTGATCAATTTAATTAGGCTGTCAACATTAACTTTTAGTTTCTGATAAAATTGCAAGTTTTCCTTATTTCCCTCATTTCCATTTTCTTCATTCTCCCCAGTGTCTTCTCCAGTTCGCTGGTTCTATAATTGAGATTTTAGAAGAACGGAAATTCAGTGAATATAAACAAAATACTCGGAAAATTGAAGATAATTGACGAATATTCTTACTTAATGGATGTTTTTTATTTAATATCCAATTTCTTACGTTATTGTCGCTTTGGGAATTTTCTCCATTTTCCTCATTCGCGTTTTCCCCATTTTCTCCATTTTCTCCATTTTCTCCACTTTCTCCGTTTTCTCCATTTTCTCCACTTTCTCCATTTTCTCCATTTTCTCCATTTTCTCCATTTTCTCCGTTCTCTCCGTTTTCTCCATTTTCTCCGTTGTCTCCATTTTCTCCGTTGCCTCCATTTTCTCCACTTTCTCCATTTTCTCCATCCTCTCCATTTTCTCCGTTCTCCCCATTTTGCTGATTCTACAATTAAAATTTGAGAAATTCAAAAGAAAATTTACTAGATCCAAAAAAATAAGTCTCCAATAAAAAATTCTGCGTACCACATCGTTCCCATCCTTGTTCGTGTTACTAAAAAAATTCCATGATTGCATAACAAATAAATCCAATAAACAATTATCAATTTTTGCAATCCAAATTGATAAGTAAAATATATAAAAAATTTCTCACCTGCCACCGAAGAGTAAACCAGTTAAACTGGACAAAATGCCTCCACTTTTTTCATTGCCATTTCCCTAAACAATATTATAACATCATTATCTTATTATTTATTATCATTATAACCCCCACTTCTTCATTTTTAATTTATCTAACAAATAGATTGCTTACGTCTCCATTCCCTCCGGACTGATTTTCCTAAAATCAATCAATCAGATCAATTTTTTCCAATTATCCAAAAACAAATAGAACAATCACTCATCATTGCTCGCAATTAATTAATTAATTAATCATTTAACCTCAATAAATTAATTAATCATTTAACTTTGGATTGAAAAGTTCTACGTACGCCTGGATTTTCATTTAGATTATTCCCATCAGTATTTTCTTCTGCCTGAAATAAAAATAGTTAAACAATTTTTTAAATGTTTATTTACAGAATTTTTACCTTTAGTAGAACACAGACACACAGGACTATTCCAAATATTCCATAAAGTCGCATATTAACTTCAATTACTCTTCGCAATCGGGGAATTGTGTTTTACGGCGATGTGAGACTCTAATGAGTGCAGTATTTTTTTTTAAATACCTTGAAGAGTACTTTTGGCGGTAATTGTGCTGTGCAGTACTCCTTCCTCCTTCTAAATTACTGATTAGATAAAAACCTATCGGTTAATAACGGGTTGCGACGAAAAAAATAAATGTATAATGCAATGCGACTCACCAGACATTTATAAAACTCTAATTGTTGCTCTCAATTATTAATCCTGAAATCAATTACAGGAATTGTTTATGAATATTCTATATTATTTCACCGGATCGATAATTGCAATCGTTTATTTGTTTAACAATTTGTTCTACAGAAATTTGGAGTTTCATATTAAATTATTATTAATTTATCCATAAAGCCTTCAATTTTTAAATAAATTATAAATAATATAAAATCAAGACTACTATTTAATCTCGAATTAATCGAAAATTGTGAGGAAAATTGTCACTTTTTTGTTAGTTAATTCAATTGTTTTAATTTAAAATTCGAAGCGTAAATTTTTCACAGTGCAGCAAGTGGATAAATAAATAATCACAAAATCATGAAGTTCACTAATCAATAATTCAATGGACAGCGCGAGCTTTCTAATAAATGAAGTAAAACTGCCATTTGCTGCATAAAATCGATAGTGGAGATAATGTAATTGAAATTGTAAATATTGATCGATTTTCTGTCATGATAAACTGGATCAATTCCGAAATGCGGTATCTCTCGCCTCAATTGTGACAGTACATCACAAATTGTTGATTAATTCCGTCATGAATTTTTTATAATAATTATAACATTATCCATTCTCCCTTGTAATATTTAAACAGAATTACTAAAGACAATAATAATTATAAATCAATCAAAAGAAATTAACTCGCGGTTTGTAATTTATATTCCCCGTGTAATAATTATTGTTTATTGTTATTCCTGTTTGTGGATTTTAGGAATTAGTGTTTTATTCTGAACAAGGGGAAGTGGCAATTTTATTTATTAATGAAGGATTATTTTTGCTGTTTAATTAATTGACGTTCTTGGAGTGGACAATTTTACTTTAGGAATTAATTAATTTTCGTAATGAAGATTACGTGATAATTCGTGGAAAAATAAATTGAATTTCAAGTTCCGTAGATTCTCGAAGAATTATTCGTTTAGTGGAAATTTTCTCTTTATTATCTAGAGTCGTTGAATTTTCAAGAATTAATCATCCATTGATTGATGGATAATTGTTGTTTATTTATGAAAATTATTTATATTATTTAATTCATAATGAAAGAATATGAAATCGTAAAGTTTCAGATAAAATGAAGAAAAATGGACGTCGTAATCTGCTGTGAGGGTCTCCTCTGAATTTTCCCCTTGTAAAATAAAAGATTATTGCATCAATGAATCTCATTGCAAATGGGAATACCTCTCTGTACGTCTGTGACAAAATTATGATTGCGGTCTGAGGGATAAATTTCTCGTTTGATATATTAACATTCAACACGTGTACAATAATCGCAAAAATCTACAAGAAAAATCGCAGAAATGAAATTCATTTTTATCTAAATAAAATAAATAAATTATCAATGACAATGAATTAGTCATCGGTTTTAACAAATTCTGAAAAATTCAAACAGATGAATTACGAATTTAGAATTTAGGAAATGAATTATTGTCTAATTAAATGTTAATTAATTGATTGGAAATTCAATTTATATTTAGTTATTTTGTTAATAAACAATTAGTGAAGAACTCTGGAAGGAATTTTTACAACGAAATGTTTTTGTCATTTCAATAGACATGTGTACATTCTCTGGACAATTGCGTGACTATAATTATTTGGAATTTTGAATACATGTAATTCAATGCATTCTCCCCCTCGCCATTTTGAATCAATGGTTCAAGGCCGTTGCGGGTGCATAAAAGATTAACTGTCAGGATAAATTGATGCGAAAATTCGTTGGGATAAAAGAACTGATTCGTAAAATATTTTTTTTTATTTATAATATCGGATTATTCCACTCTGTACTGCCATCGCACCGAGAAATTATCAATTACTCTTGCAATTACCTTAATGCACTTCCACTTTGCGGTTCTGAATTCTCAGTGTCTATTGAATAATTCCATCCAACGGGTTGACCTCAAAATATTTTTTTCTTCTATTTTCAATTTTTCATTATTTTTTTTGCAAATCAATAAAAAAACAATGATTATATATATATTATTTAAATATCGCCAATTATAATAATATCACAACATCTTTATAATTTATCGAAATATGATAATAATAATTATTATTATCATTCTTGTTAGTCATAATAATATTATTATTCCTCTTAACAATAAAATCGCAAATTTCCTGTAATTGTTCGAATGATTAAAAAAGGTAATTGCATTTGTAATGGTGGGATCTAATTAAAAAATAATTCCGGGGTTTGAACAATTGTTTTATAAATTTTTATTTTATGATGTTTTATTTTTAACTGTTTAGTGTCACTAGCTGCTCTGATTACAGCCTGACTATTATCCTATTTTTAAAACAGTGACACTAACCGAATCATAAGTAGTCCGAATTTTGTATTCATATTGTTTCAACGGAAGAATTAATAATATTCCTAATTTAACAATCGATCGTCTTCACTATCGATTTAAAATAAAAATGTTACATCGATTTGTTTTATGCCAGTCTTTAAATCTCGTTTTTTTTTGCTGTAATAAATATTCTGTCAACAATAAACAATAAACAAATGGGGTTTTGTAGTAACAATGCAATTATGGATCGATAAAAATTAAGTATTTAAATTATTTCAATTAATTTTGTATCGAATTCAAAAATTACTAGTTCATTGAATTCGCAGTTATTTAATTAATAATCACGTATAATCGATAACTAATAATTAATCAATTAGGAATAATTACCAATGGGTTGAATTCATTTAATTAAACTAATTTAATTGATAAATCATTCATTTTTTTAATTCAAACTTTCTAATAAATAATAATGCAATTATCCTCAAGATCAAGTTGTCATTAATTATTTTTGAATTTATCATTAAAAAACAATTAATCATATACATAAACATATACATATATACCCATACATATACACATAATATAAAATATATATATACTAATTTTTCCGGTGAAAATTCGCTATTTCCCAAAAAAACGAAAATTTCGAATCGATGGATTTCGATTTCGATTTTTCTTTCGATCTTTTTCTCTCGAAATGGCTGTCACTCTTGATTTTTTTGTATTCTATATATATATAAGGATAGTATATAAATAATAATATATATGTATCTTCGGTGGAACACCAACAGGAGAGGATGAAAAATAAATCCCAACGGATGGGAAAAAATACTGAGACTTCCGGTGCGAGTGCATTGATGGTATGAGCACAGGGTGGGGGGTATGTACCATGTAGTTGGTGTATGTAGTTATAAGGGGTATGCGCGGCTTTGGAGGGGGATGACTCGGATGGTCCTTTTTCTCGATTGCAGTCAGTTGGCTGACGAACGCACCAGAGTGAACACAGAACTCCCATTCGTGGCCTAACGATTATTTTATTTAATTAACCCGAATCGCCAATTAAATGTTTAATTTAAAAATCGTGATCCGGCATTTCTCCTGAAGGTGGGATTTAATTTTTCCATTGAATTCAAACCGATATTTCGGTTTTCGTCGGGGCGAAAACGAAAATCGAGGATATCTCCAATTTTTTAATAACAAAACGGGACTTTGGTGGGGATTTTAACAATTTAATTCAGGTAATACGAATTGCACTTGAAATAGTGATTGGACGGGGTCAGTGCACTCTATTGGTATTTGTATTTTTCAGTGATAAACAGTGCGTTATCGTTGATTATAAAAATTGAATAAATAAAAAAAGGAGTGAGGGATTTATCTGGTGAGCGTGTCATCACTTGACAGCAGAAACTCGGTGGCCTAGTTAAGTGCATCGAACTAATTGAAAAAGATATAAAAAAAGTACTGATGCTACGAGTGCAGTAGAAGTCTGTGAAATTCGAGATCGAGATAAAAGTTTTTAAAAAATTATTTCATCTGTAAAAGTTTGAGACGATCTCTCAACCATTTCTGTCCTGTCACCATTTTTTATTCCTCAACCCAGAGGTAATCTTCGGGTGAAATTTTACAAAAAAAATCTCACGATAATGCGAAAAATAACTGAATTGGTGAAGAGTCGGGCGATCAGCTGACTGAGACTTTTGGTACGTCGACCTGACGTTCGTCGTGATAATTTTGATAAAAGGAATAACTCCATCGGTAATAATCATCAGCGGTGTTCCATCATGACTTTCAGCGCATCCTTTCATGATGATAAGAATCCATTCCCTAATCAGAACTTGCACCGGTACGTTTTTATCTTTTAATGAAAACAATAGTTATTGTTGTCAACCGGAAGTGCTCCAATATGCATTAAAGGAATTGATGATAAATATTCCATGATGACAATAGAATGAAATAATACCCTCTGGTAAACAACGAATAATCAATTAAACAAATAAAACAATTGATTTTTTTTTATCCCTAAAAAAATCCATTTATTTATTTTATTTCTTTGGGAGGGGAGGGAGGGGGAGGAGGGGGGTATGTTCTAAACATTTACCTCAATTTTTATAACGATAAAAGAAATATTAAATGTTATATTATTATTTAACACTTTATTTACAATTAATAGCAGATAAATGTTTTAATTCTTTTCGATTCGGTCGATTAAATAAATAAATAAATTATTTGAGCGGTGATATTTATTATTGTTATTGTTATTTCATTGAAGTCTTTGATCTGTTATTTTTTCGTGGACATAAATGTTTGAATTTTTATTTTATTTTGCAATTTGTTATTATTCTTCTATTTGTTGAGAGTCCGACATTGGAAAAATATTTACGCTCGTCTGAACTGGAATTTGTTAGAAGCACGTGATCTTATCAGGATTTCTACTAATCACATGTTTTATTCCCAAACATTGAGTTACAGCTAGAGAATAATTACCGGAAAAATTGACGATTGAAAATAATTCGATTTCAAATCGAAATTTAAACGAAATTAATATTGATTCAAATGTTTATACATTTATCCACTCACGGTTACTTTATAAATAATAATTACAACAATAATAATAATAAGCATTAAAAATGGAATTAATTAATCTGCAATGAATATTTAAAAATTAATTTTTTATTATTATTATTTATCCACTCGTCGCTATTGAATCTGCAGGAAAATTCCGTTGAGTCGTCCAAATTTTTCGGTTATTAAAAATGAAATTAATTAATCTGCAATGAATATTTAAAAATTAATTTTAATTATTATTATTTATCCACTCCACTTTTATTATTATTAT